GCGCGGGGAGCTCACACTGAGTGAGGCGCTCGGGGTCATGTCAGCCGAGCCCTCACCTGGCGGTGGTTCTCGGAAACACCGCCTCGACGCACCGTCTCCCCACCCTGTTCTCATCTCCGGGTGCTTATGTGTCCTCACGTGTCTTCCTTAATCGTCTCATCCCCGACGTTGCCAGCAGGCTGAAGCCTGGTCAGAGCCGGGTCAGCCGCTGTTTCATGTGGGGGACCCCCTCCTGCCCATACTCAGCCTGAGTCCCGTTTGTGACATAGGAATGTAGCGTTATAGCACTCGCAGGGGCGGGGGCTGGGGGCCAGGAGCGCAAGAGTGCGTTTTGATTTTGCTTTCGCTGCTGCTCACACCCGCCTTATTCCCATCCTTCCCTGCCAACGTTTCATTCACCGCTGCAACTGCCACCCCTGTAACTTTCTGTTCCCCACTCTGCGGTGCCCTAAGCCAGCTGGCGCACTCTGTCGCCAGAGATCCGTTCAGTCTGGTCCCACTCTGACAGCTTTCTTAAATAAAAGAGGAGCCTCCCCTCAAAGACTCAATTCTAAATTATACTAGTGGAAGGAGAAAAGCTCTTGTTCTTACCAAGGCACGTTGGATTCCAAAATAGCTTCCATTGCCCGACGCCCACTACACTGTGTGCCAGGAACATGCTCGGTTAGGGTGCAGGCTCCGGGCAGATCGATTCCACAACTTTGTCTTTGGGTCCTATCGTGTAGTGGGCACCGTGCTGTGTACTGGAGATAGTACAATGGGCAGCAGTCCCCACGCTCACCGAATGTCACAGTCTTAGACACATCAGCTGATCGAATCTTTACAAACACCCTGTGAAGTGGGTCTGATTGCCCTTGATTCCCAGATGGTAAAACAGAGGCTCCAACGTGGAAACGAGTTAGGTTCACCTATGCTTCAGATCCCAGAGCAAATAGCACATTGGATAGATCTGAAGAAGCGTTGTCCACATTTCAGCATCCCGTAGGAAGGCGTGCTGCAGTGGGTGGAGCCCGATCGTTGCCTCTCACTTCGGTTGGCAGTGTTAATCTTTCTCAATGGTCAACAGGTACAGTCGGGCACCTTACAACATAAAGCGTTTCACAAGTGACTGCGGAGAGGAGAGGTGGCCGACCCGCGTGACAGAGCAATGTCGATTCCCTTCCTGCTCTACTTTGAACAGGAGGGGGCGCTGACCTCTGCAGACTGCTGTCCCAAGCTTCCTCATTCCTGGCGTCCAGCGAGGTTCGGCCTCTGGGAGGCAGCAATGAGAGAGGCCCTCTCCTATCCTCCCACCCCGTGAGCAACATCTCAGACAGTAGCTAGTTGCCCGGCATGGTTAGGGGGTCCTAGCCCCCAGTCTCCTGTAACACGGCACCCCTCCTGGATCAACTCTCCAGCCGAGGACAGCACTGGCTTCGGGCTCATCCCTGTGTGGCTTTATCTCATCTGTTTAGTCTTTCAACAGCTCCGCTCTCCATGTAACCAGTTCTTGGCATTAAACTCTCCTTTGCTTTAAATACTCGTTGGTGTTCCGTGCTCTGGGTGGACTCCACCTGACACAGCTGGCGTTCAAATCCAGACGTGCCATGCCTATCGCTCCCCACAACCTTCCAGCCCTCAGGTACTAAAAAGAGGAATGAGATATTAAATATAGAAACATCAAAAAGCCACCACAAAGCCACAGACTCTTTGAGAGGCAGCGAAATTATTGCAAAAGATATGAGTATCTACATACGCACCACGCATTGCACGTTGATGAAATATCTTTCAGATGGAAGCATTACTCTTTTCTAGTTTCTAGTATAACTCACAGTTCTGTTACAATGAAAGTCCAAAAGTTGAATCTGATTGGCCTGGCTCTAGTTAGGCCCATCTCTAAATCAGTCACCATAACTAGACAACCCATGAGTCAAATGTCTATCTTTGTGGACTGATGATCAAAAAAAAAAAAAAAAAAATCAAGGAACTGTTACCAGAAGAGAGATGCAGGGATCAGCAGTTGGTATGATGGCTATGTCGCTGGACTCCCATGTAGTCGACCACGGTTTGAGTCTTGGACCTGGTGGCTTAAACTCACGCCGGGTGCATGTGCGTGCGAGCCCAAGATCCTGAGAGGAGAGTGGAGAAGAAGGGATTGTGGTGTGACCATCCCTCCAGGGGGTGATTTCTCACTTTCTGTCTGTCTCTCTCTGTCTTTCTGGCGAGCATATGTGCTCTACAGCAAAGACCTCTCCAAAAAAAAAAAAAAGAGAAATGCAGAGTTATCAAAAACAGTAGACACCCATTATAAGCATTAGACTCATATATGCTAAGAAATAGGAAATCATCTAGCACCTTCACACATCCCAGAATCGTTTTCTGTGAGATAGTGTGTCCCACTGAAGACACACGATTCCCCAGCCTCCCTTGCAGCAAAAGCAGCTATGCGACAGCTTCTGGTCAATGAGATATAGGCAAAAAATCCCTGAGGGGGCACCCTTGTGTGAGGAAACATTCTAAAAGATTCTTAAATGGGCTAAAAAAAGAATGCTGGGTGCCGCGTCCGGCCAGCAGGGCCATCTCCATCTTGGGCCACCTGTAGGCCATTTCACAATTTGTAAGTTGTACAGAACATCGGAACACAAGCCGCTCTCGTTCACAGAAGTGCAAATGAATTGCCTTTGGAGGAGCTGCAACTGCTTAACGTTCCACTGATATTGACTAGTTTTCCATCTACTTGCAAATTCATTTTGACATACCTGACTGCTATGCATGTATGCATGTGTGGTTGCCTAGATGTGTAGGCTTTTTAAAACAATTCTCTTTTGAATTGGTTTTAACATCCTACTGACTCCCATATTAATGAATGAGCTAGACCGTGGTGCAGCGGTAAAATACGACACTCTGCCATATCGATCCACGTGGGAAGGTTCCGAGTGTGTGCCTTGAGAGTGCTGGGCACACAGCCCACGATCAGGGCTGGCTAAAGCCAGAGGTGGACCCTGGCATGAAGACCCTATTGAGGCCGCTGCTTCTGTCTCTCTCACTTATGGAAGAAGTAAACTTTTTAAAAATTAATAAGTGAACATTTTTTTATGTGTTTGATGATTGAATTAAGAATCATGCTTTTATCCTTTGTAAAAGTTTATCATTTAGGGGGACCAGCAGGTGGCATGGTGGTTAAGGTGCTGGACACTCCCACATGGCTGACCATGATTCAAGTCCTGGACCTGGTAGCTTGCTTTCCCACTTTCCCTCTCTCTCTCTCTGTCTGTCTGTCTCTCTCTCTCTGATCAAATTAAAATAAATGAATGAATAAATAAAATAAATGAAGTTAAATAATTATTTTTAAAAAAAGTTTATCATTTAACACTTCCCAAATAAAAATGCAAGGCCTCACGGGCCAGCCGGTAGTGTGCTGGTGAAGGTGGCTGAATCCTTCATGGCTGACTGTGACATTTGGGTCTGGACCCGGCAGCTTGAAAATCACATCAGGTGCATGTGTGCCCCCAATCCCTAGAGGAAACTGGAGGAGAAGAGATCGCAGTTTAACCACATCCCCTGTGGATGGTTTTCTCACACACCGCCCCCTGCCGGCCCCCTACTCTCTCTGGCAAGTGGATGTAATCTACAGCAAATTAAAACATTTTTTCTTTTTTTAAATTCAAGGTATCACATTTTAAAAAGCCTTGAGCTTTCTGCCAAAGGGCATATGCACTCACCAGAGAGACAGAGACAGAGAGATGGGAAGTGAGAAATCACCCCTTGGGAAAAAAAAAAAAAAAAAAATCAAGGAACTGTTACCAGAAGAGAGATGCAGGGATCAGCAGTTGGTATGATGGCTATGTCGCTGGACTCCCATGTAGTCGACCACGGTTTGAGTCTTGGACCTGGTGGCTTAAACTCACGCCGGGTGCATGTGCGTGCGAGCCCAAGATCCTGAGAGGAGAGTGGAGAAGAAGGGATTGTGGTGTGACCATCCCTCCAGGGGGTGATTTCTCACTTTCTGTCTGTCTCTCTCTGTCTTTCTGGCGAGCATATGTGCTCTACAGCAAAGACCTCTCCAAAAAAAAAAAAAAAGAGAAATGCAGAGTTATCAAAAACAGTAGACACCCATTATAAGCATTAGACTCATATATGCTAAGAAATAGGAAATCATCTAGCACCTTCACACATCCCAGAATCGTTTTCTGTGAGATAGTGTGTCCCACTGAAGACACACGATTACCCAGCCTCCCTTGCAGCAAAAGCAGCTATGCGACAGCTTCTGGTCAATGAGATATAGGCAAAAAATCCCTGAGGGGGCACCCTTGTGTTAGGAAACATTCTAAAAGATTCTTAAATGGGCTAAAAAAAGAATGCTGGGTGCCGCGTCCGGCCAGCAGGGCCATCTCCATCTTGGGCCACCTGTAGGCCATTTCACAATTTGTAAGTTGTACAGAACATCGGAACACAAGCCGCTCTCGTTCACAGAAGTGCAAATGAATTGCCTTTGGAGGAGCTGCAACTGCTTAACGTTCCACTGATATTGACTAGTTTTCCATCTACTTGCAAATTCATTTTGACATACCTGACTGCTATGCATGTATGCATGTGTGGTTGCCTAGATGTGTAGGCTTTTTAAAACAATTCTCTTTTGAATTGGTTTTAACATCCTACTGACTCCCATATTAATGAATGAGCTAGACCGTGGTGCAGCGGTAAAATACGACACTCTGCCATATCGATCCACGTGGGAAGGTTCCGAGTGTGTGCCTTGAGAGTGCTGGGCACACAGCCCACGATCAGGGCTGGCTAAAGCCAGAGGTGGACCCTGGCATGAAGACCCTATTGAGGCCGCTGCTTCTGTCTCTCTCACTTATGGAAGAAGTAAACTTTTTAAAAATTAATAAGTGAACATTTTTTTATGTGTTTGATGATTGAATTAAGAATCATGCTTTTATCCTTTGTAAAAGTTTATCATTTAGGGGGACCAGCAGGTGGCATGGTGGTTAAGGTGCTGGACACTCCCACATGGCTGACCATGATTCAAGTCCTGGACCTGGTAGCTTGCTTTCCCACTTTCCCTCTCTCTCTCTCTGTCTGTCTGTCTCTCTCTCTCTGATCAAATTAAAATAAATGAATGAATAAATAAAATAAATGAAGTTAAATAATTATTTTTAAAAAAAGTTTATCATTTAACACTTCCCAAATAAAAATGCAAGGCCTCACGGGCCAGCCGGTAGTGTGCTGGTGAAGGTGGCTGAATCCTTCATGGCTGACTGTGACATTTGGGTCTGGACCCGGCAGCTTGAAAATCACATCAGGTGCATGTGTGCCCCCAATCCCTAGAGGAAACTGGAGGAGAAGAGATCGCAGTTTAACCACATCCCCTGTGGATGGTTTTCTCACACACCGCCCCCTGCCGGCCCCCTACTCTCTCTGGCAAGTGGATGTAATCTACAGCAAATTAAAACATTTTTTCTTTTTTTAAATTCAAGGTATCACATTTTAAAAAGCCTTGAGCTTTCTGCCAAAGGGCATATGCACTCACCAGAGAGACAGAGACAGAGAGATGGGAAGTGAGAAATCACCCCTTGGGAGGATGGCCACACCATAATCCTGTCTCTTGTATTCTCTTAGGATCCCAGGCACGCACAAACACGTGCCCAGTGTGATTTTCATGTTGCCAGGTCTGGGATTTGAACCATGGTCAGCCATATGGGAATCCGGCACCTCAACCACCGTGCCACCTGCTGGTCCCTCTCCCTTATGTCGACCCCGAACATAAGGCAGACGGCACCAAAGCCATCTTGTAACCATGAGAGCAAGCCCGAGACCGAAGGTTCGTGTGCTGAGGATGAAGGACCGGACTCGCATTAAAGACCCTCGCCCCTGACAGTACCAGTGCGTCACCACATTGGCTCCGGACTGTCCATTCCAGGGTTCCTGTCGTGGACCAGTGCAGTGAGGCTTCCCGCCATAGCCCCAATGGACACCACCCGAAAGCCCTCAGCTTCCTTTTGCTCCAGGGGAAACCTGTCATCGAGCGGAGCATGCCTGAGGAAGGGAGGGAAGTTGAGACCTCTACAGGAGGATTGGGGAAGTGATGTTGCAAGACTGGTCATTCAGTCGAAGCATGGAGGAAGCAACCTTTTGACACTCGCTTTTGAGAAATCTTCTATTGAAGAGAATGAGTTTGCCCTCGGATCCTTGAATTAGAAGCTACTTCTTACAACATAGGATGCCGTCTCATAAAGCCATCTGGATTTTCAAGAAAGCCTGAGTTGGGGCTGGCAGGTAGCATAGTGGTTAGGGGCCCTGGACTCGCACACGGCAGACTGCGGTTTGACTTCTGAACCTGGCAGCTTGGCTTCTCACCTTCCCTCTCTCTCTCTCACACACTCTCACTCTGTCCTTCTCTGGTCAAATTTAAATAAATAAATAAAATTCAATAAAATAATTCTTAAAGAAAAGAAAGCATCGGTTTCATTTTTCCACTTGTGGAGTTGGACTGGCCAGGGGCCAGACATTTTCTTTGATCTGGCCCTTTCTGGGTCTCTGCGAGATGATTGCTTGAGGTGACTGTCATTGACTGCCTTTCTGGCACCCACGCCCCGCAGCCTCTATACCCATCCAGAGGTGGGACATCCGTCCCAAGGCCACAGCAATCGGAGCATGCCCTGCTAACAGCGATGACTCGATCGAAGAGTAGACCAGCAGAGTACACTCCAGTGGGTGTCTGGGGGGGCTCTGTGGAAGAGCCTTCTGGCTGGACTGGAGACCCAGAGAATGCAGAGCAGCGATGGAAGCGGCCATTCTGCCCCCACGTGGCCGAAGGATCGAGTCCATCTGAGGGAGAACAGAGCTGCGAGTGGACACTGGGGCTCTGACCACAGCCACCCGTGAGGTCGGCACTCTCCCCGATCTTTCAGCTGCGGTCAACAAGTCTCTGCTTTTGTTTACGCTGGTCCGAATGGGAGTCCCACTCAGATTAGTCCTGATGGACGCAGAGGGTTCGGGGTGGAGCAGCCGCGAGTAAGCCAGCTCTTACAGGTCGTCCAGGGCCTGCTCCAGCCCCGAGTTCCTCAGCACCCCCCACAGTGACACACACACCCACCTCTGCTGCGCACGATCGCACGCGCAGATCTACGTGCTGATAAATGCCCCAAACGGTTGCAGCGGTGTAAGGTACGATGATCTGTGGCCGACATTTTTAACACATTTGTAATCGTCATATTCACAGCAGGTATGTAAGTTGCTCCCTGGACCACAGTGGAGTCAAAAGGTTGTCACATGATTCTCTTCCACTCAGGAAGGCATTCGGGGTACTCAGAACACGCTCCAGCCCAAAGAGAATCATTACAGGGCTCAGGGACTGTCTGTCTCATTTGTTTACATAATCAAAATTTCAAACTCAAGGGGCCAGCAGGTGGCAGAGTGGTCGAGGCACTAGACTCCCATGTGGTCAACTGCAGTTCAAGTCCCAGACCTGCCTGGCAGCTTTCTTTCTCACTTTCTCTCTCTTTCACACGCCCTATAGCAAATTAAAATAATAATAATAAATAATATGAAACGAACAATTCTTTTTATAACGTTAAACACTCGTACTTTTACTTGTGTATTCCTGCAAGGCACCTGCGCTTGTGGAGAGAGACAGAGAGAAAAGGGAAGTGGGAGACATTTCCTCCACCCCAGAGGGTGATGGCCATGTCACAGTCCCTTCTCTCTACTCCCCTCTGAGGATTTTGGGCACACGCCCGCCACACCTGGCACGTTTTTCAAGCCGAAAAGTCCAAGAATTAATCCACGCGGTTGGCCACGTGGGCCCCGGCTGCCTTAACCAGCACAGCACTGGCTAGGCCAAAACTTCAAATGCCAGTGCTCTAATATTAGCAGTAAATTACCCAACGCAGGCAGACACACACCTGAATTCAGCTGTCCGTGGGTCGAGACCCCCAGGGGTGACACCCGCCAACTGACTGGGCTCAGTTTATTCCCGATATACATAATCTACCTTCAAAACTAGAAACTTCCACCTGTGAGCGCTCGTCTAAATCGAAAAGACATGTTCTTTTCTTGAAAAGAGGGTTTTTGTCACCTTTCTCTCTTATCCTTCAAGAAAGTTGCTCTCTTGGGGCCGGCAGGTGGCATGGTGGTTGAGGTGCTGGGTTCCCATGTTCAAATCCCAGATGGGATGATGGTTTGCTTTCTCCCTTTCTCCCTTTCCTTCTCTCTCCCTCTCAGTCTCTGTCTAGTCAAATAATAAGAAGAATTAAATAATTTTTTAAAAAAGAATTGCTTTCTCAGAAGATGGCACCTTCCTCTTAGGTCCCTGATGTTCAAGGTGATTTAAGTTTGTTTGTTTGTTTATAAAATAAACATTTAAGAGTACAGGAGTCTATCTCAGTTTCAAGAACAGCTGGATTTTACAGATGAAACATGTTCAAGGCTCTCTCTCTCTCACTCAGAGAATTACAAATCAAATATGAACAGTGTTCACGTTTGGTGATTCTGGGTAATTACAGAGGAGTTACTTTTTTTTTTCTTTTCCAGAGAGCATGATCCCCACCAGAGAGACAAAGAGGGGGAGGAAGAAGGCACCCCCAGTGTGGCGCGGACGTGCCACAACCCCTTCTCTGTCCTGTCAGGATTTGGTGCACATAGCCATGTGTACCAGACGTGTGTTTCAAGCTGTCGGGGCTGGGATTTGAACTGCCTTAATCGCCAGGCCTTGGAGCTGGCCAAGGAGTTATTTTGTACTGTTCTTGGTGCTTTTCTGTAAGTTTGAAATTATTTCCAATTGAAAAGATTTTTTTCTTTTTTTTTTATTAAAGGAAACAAGGTCTTGGTCCAGCTGTGGGGGTGCAGGCCTTGGGGTGCTGCCGTGCGACGCTGGAGCCCGTCGGAGCCTCTGGGTGTGGTCACCCATGGGCTTGAGGACACTGGGCGGCCTGCCAGCGTGCCAGCGACTGGAACCCAGAAGGCTCCTTGGGAGGGAGGGACACGTGGCTTGGTAAGACCCTGCTGGGGTTACGCTCCTGTCGGATTCTCTGTAGGAAAAAACTTTCTCTCTCCCTCGTTTGTGTTCTTGTCTATGCTTTCTTCACAGTCCCTAGACCCCGAGGGCACAGTCTACTTAGTCTAGTCACCCCAGAGGAGAGAACAGCTTTCCAGCGACTCTAGCCAACCACCCGGTGAGTGTCCTAGTGACCTTCGGAGGGCCTGCGCCCCACGCTGACCCCATCACAGGGGCCACAGGGATGGAATGACCTGATTGGTCCAGCCTGGTCACACGTCCCTTCCTAAAGCCCCAGGAGGGAGCCAAGTCCTCCCAGAGTTGAGAGACGGAGAAAGGGGAAGGTGGGTCACCCCAGGAAAGTCAGGGTGCTGAGGCTAAAAGAGGTTGCCTGATGCTGGGGAGACAGAAATGGCACATAAATCCACCATCGTCCGCGCCCTGGGGCTCAGCAGCTCTCCGAGGGCGAGGCAGAGTGGAGGACTGAGAGGTTAGGGAAGGAGAGGCACCTCCTAGGTTAAGGAGACCAACCTGTTCTGCCTGCCCCCCAGGAGCAGTTTAACAGGTCATCTGCTCTCCCCGCAGCACAGGGCTGGCAAGGGACACAGCCAGTCCTGCCAGAGCCCCATAAGTATTCAGTGCAGGGCGGTTACCATTTTAACCAGGGCGACTGGTAAGTCAGGCGATGAGGCCTACATTTGCTTAGACTGCCCACAGACCCCCTCAAATAAGGGACCTGAAGCCCTTCCCCACACACTGTGAGTCTCATCTCAACACATTTTAATCTGTCATCTATTATAAAAATACTACATGCTTCTCGCAAAAAAATTCAAACACAGAAGTGTATTGAGGAGAGAATGAAAGCTGTCCCTGCTCCAGACTGCTGCTAACCATCCGGTGAACGTAATCGTAATAATGGCGGTAAGACAGGGTAAAGTTGACATGGTCTCAGTTGTATACTCCTTTTTGTTTCTAATTGCCAAGAAAGCCCGTGTGCTCGCCAGAGAGAGGAAGAGAGAGGAGCACCTCCCAATGGGAGCAGGAGGTCCCTGTTCCTCCATTGCTCCATCCCGCCAGGAATTTGGGCACCGCATGCCTGGCATGTTCTGCAAGCCGTCAGGGCAGAGATTAGATCTAGCTTTCTGAGCACAGCACTTAACTGGCACAGGGCCAGCCCTGCACTGTACACTCCTTAAAAATTTATTCACTTTTATTTATTATTATTATTTGGTACAAGGCACATGAGCCAAGCAGAGAGAAGAGATGGATGAAGTGAGAAGGCCGGTCACCAGGTCTGGGACTTGAACTGCGGTTGCCATGTAGGAGTCCAGCATCTCAACCACCGTGCCACCTGCTGACCCGTGGCCACTTGTTTTGCCTTCACATTCAAATGGTGTAATACTGGTGTAATACTGTGGTATGGTGATTAAGGAGCTGGACTCTCACACGGCCAACAGCAGTTCAGGCCCCAGACCTGGTGGTATGAAAATCACGCCGGGCATGCATGCGTGTGTGCGTGCCCAAAATCCTGAGGTGAGAATGGAGGGGGAGGGATTTGGGTGTGGCCATTCTCCCAGGGGGTGATTTCTCACTTTCCCCTTCTCTCTCTCTCTGGCAAGTGAACATATCCTATGGCAAACACCTATTAAAAAAGAAAGAAAAAGATGTAGCATTGCTCCCATTTAACACATGAGGAAACTAAACCCTGAAGAGATCAAATAGTTTGCCTAAAATTTCACAGCCAATAAGTAAGAGAAGTTAACCTCCAACAGCAAGCCTAGCAGGTGGTGTGGTGGCTAAGGCACTGGACTCTCACAGGGCCAGCCATGGTTTGAGTCCCAGTCCCAGATCTGGCAGCTTGCCCTCACGTTTCCTCTCTCTCCCTTTGTCATTGGTAAGCACACACATCCTACAGCAAGCTGAAAATAACATTGGGGACCAGCAGATGGCATAATGGAAACCTTGTTGGACTCCCACGTAGTAGACCACGTCTCGAGTCCTGGACCAGGCAGGTTAAAACTCACGCCGGGCGCGTGTGCGTGCGTGCCCAAAATCCTGAGAGGGGAATGGAGAAGAATGATTGTGGTGTGGCCATCCCTTTGGAGGGTGATTTCTCACTTTCTGTCTTTCTGTCTCTGTCTCTCCAGTGAGCACATGTGCCCTATAGCAAAAATATCTCCCCCCCCAAAGAGAGAGAGAGAGAGAGAGAGAGAGAGAGAGAGAGAAAAGCTCACTGTGGAGGGTCAAATGGTGGCCCAAAAAAGATATGCCTCTGTCCAGACCCCCAGAAACTGTAGGCATGGCCTTATTTGGGAAAAGAATCTTAGCAGATGGAATTAAGCTGGATCCTACCTTGAGATCGTGCTGTCTGCACTCTAATTCCAAGGACATCTGTCCTTATAACAGACACAGATGAGAGGGCCAGGTACTGAGAAGGCAGGGCTGGGGGGGACATAGCCACAGCCGGGGACACTGACAGCCACCAGGGCTGGACGAGGCGAGGAACGAAACCTTCCCCAGAGATTCTGGACGGAGGGGAGCCCTGCCGACACCTCGATCGCAAACTTCTGGCTTCCAGAACCACAAGAGAATAATGTAAGACACCGTATCGGATGTCATTTCTGATAGCCGACATGGGAAGCGAACCTGGTCCCATACTCATGCCCTGGCTGGAGAAGCAGCTTCGGGCAGGCAGAGCCCTGAACTCACGCACAGATTCAGCTTCTCCTCCCACTGCCTGTCTGCTGGCTCCCACAGAGATCCCACATCCTGCTTTGTCACGTATAAAGTGAAATGCTACTTCTTTTATTTTGTTTTGGTATCTGCCCCCGTTCCTACGCACTCAGGGAGAGACAGAGCGACAGAGGGGGAGAAAGCACCCCTGATGAAGCGTGGTCCAGCCCATTTTCCATTTCTTCATCTTGTCAGGAGTCGGGGCACTCATGAACGCGTGCGCCAGGTGTCTTTCAAGTCACTGGGGCTGGGATTCAAACTGCAGTTGGCCCATGGGATCTGCTCCCTTGACCAGGAGGTGACAGAGGTGGCTAGTGAAATACCGTCTTAGAAAGCAGTCGGTGACACAGCGAGGCCGGCAAGCCCCAGGCTCGCACCAGCTCAGCCCGGCAGGTGCGTCCCCAGGTTCGTCCAGCCCTCTGTCCTGTCCCGCAGTGCCCCCTCACACCGGGGGGTCGGCGAGCTGCAGAGAGCAGCCATCATTCCTAGTTCATTTACGTATTCAGCAATGACCTTCCCCGCAGCGGGCAGGTCGTGGGGACCCAAGGTCAGCTCATAACCAAGAGGAGATGAAAGGTTTCCAAGAGTGAAGATTATAAGGAAGAACGGAAGGACAGAGCCACCGCGAGGTGGGGAGACTGAGGGACGAGAGCAGGGAATCCAGCAATTGGAAGTGAGAGCAGGATTTATTCCCATTTGTGTTTTCTGCATGTATCTTCTCCAGTCCACAAGACAATACTTGCTTGGGGGACCAGCAGTTAGCGTAAAGGCTATGTCGCTAGACTCCCATGTAGCCGACCGAGGTTCGAGTCCTAGACCTGGTGGCTTACACGCACACTGGGCGCATGTGCATGCATGCCCAAGATCCCGAGAGGAGAACGGAGGAGAAGGAATTGTAGCGCGGCCATCCCCCCTGGGGGGTGATTTCTTGCTTTCTATCTCTCTGTCTCTGTCTGTCTGGCGAGAGCACACGCCCTATAGTAAAAACCTCTCCCCCACCCCCCCAAAAAAAGACAACACCTGCTGGTTGGTAGAAAATACAGAGTAAGGAACAACATAAAAAGGAAATCAATGGGGCCAGGATGTGTGCTGGTGAAGGCGCTGGACTCCCACAAGGCTGTCTACGGTTTGAGTTCCGGACTCGGTAGCTTGAAACTCATGCCGGGCATGTGCGCGTGCAAGCCCAAAATGCCAAAAGGAGAATGGAGGAGAAGGGACTGCAATGTGTTCATCCCTGGGGATGATCTCTCACTCTCTGTGTCTCTGGCAGGCACACGTACTGCGTGTGGTACTTGATTATAAGGCGCCACCGAGCATTCCATGAAATAGGCAGCCACTTCGATGGCTGTAGACTATTCTGAATGAATTTTAGTCTTTTTAAAGGATAGCCTACACTTTCTTCCACAAGCTTTAGCTTTCATTTAATGTCATTCATTTCAAAAAATGTATTTCATTTTTATGTATCATTATTATTTTTTTTAGATTGCTATAGGGCTCTTGTACTCACCAGAGAGAGAGAGAGAGAGAGTGAGAAAGCAAGCCGCCAGGTCTAGGGATTGAACCATAGCCGGCCACGTGGGAGTCCAGCACTTCAACCACCATGCTACCTGCTGGCCCTTCTTTTATTTAATTATTTAAAATATTTTGCTAGATGACGCATGCACTTTCCGGAGACAGACCATCTTCTCAAAGCCTCTGGGGCAAAACGAGATCAGACTGTCCATGAAAACCCAGCTGACTTTCAGAGAAAAAGAAACCCAGTGGTTCCTCTTTATCCATGCCTTTCAGCTAATCCCACAGCCGAAAAGAGAGAAGAAGGTAATTTGACAGGACAGAAAGGGTATGGAAAAGAAAGGTAGGTGTTAGTCATTTAGGGGAAAAGGGAAGTACTTGTGTTAACAAGAATCTTGAGGTATCTGATAACACGGAATGAGGAATTTTTCCATGTGTTGAAAAATCCCACCCTGGGCTGGCCCGGTAGAAGGTGGTTAAGGGGACTGGATCCCACACGGCCACTGTGTGGTTTTGGCGTGGTAGTGCTGGGTGATCGGGCCCAAGTTCTTGTCCCACGCTCATGAAGAATTAGAGAGGCGGACACAGAGAAGAGAGTAAAGCAGAGTTTACTAGGAAAGGAGGAAAAGCTTCCCGTGTAGGGGAAGCGGGCCCCAGTGGGTTGCCAAAGAGGAACTGAAGGTGAGGGGGTTTTATCTAGCAGTAGAAACATGGGTGGCCTCTCTGACAAGGATGTGGGCTTTAGAAAATAGTTACGTGGTAGTCCCAGTGATTTATTACCCTACTCTTCCTGTGGTCAGCAGACCATAGCATTCTGTACTTTGTGTTAAAGTTACTAAATACAAACTGTTGCCCTTAGCTACAGGTTGCTTTGAGCCCCAGTGCAGCCAGTTTTCGGCTGTGGAAACTTAGCCACTGTGACTCCATCTTGGCCCTACCTGTCCGTGTGCTCAATATCCCCCTGTCTCCTGCCTTGTTAGCAAGGAGTCCTACATTCTTTTTTTTTTTTTTTTTTTTCTTCAGGGGCGCCTCCCCAGACAGACAGGAGACAGAGAGACAGAAAGCGAGAGACACCCCCCAGAGGAAATGGCCACACCGCAATCCCTTCTCCTCCGTTCTCCTCTCGGGATCTTGGGCACGCACGCACACACACCCGACGTGAGTTTTAAGCCACCGGGTCTGGGCCACAAACCGCGGTCGACTACATGGGAGTCCAGCAACATAGCCATTATGCTAACTGCTGGTCCCAGGAGTCCTGTATTCTTTAAGAGATCTATAAAAGGAGTATATATTGTACATTAACCAGGCCATAGAGGAAAAACACACAAGCTTCATTAAAAAGAAGGACACAGGGCCTTCCTTTGGGCGTTCTTACCCTATCTACCTGTAAGTGGGTCTAATTTCTATCTCCGTTTGAATCCCAGCCCCCGTGGCTTGAAAACATGTTGGGTGCACGTGTATACACACCCCAAACCTTGACAGATGGAGAAATGGAGGAGAAGGGATTGCAGTGTGGCCACACACCTTGGGGAGGTGTTTTCCCCCTCTCTCTCTCCCACTTCTGACAATTAAACACATGAAAAGAAAAACCCAGCCTGAGCATACCCAGGCAGCCAGGGTTACCCGCTCAGCCTCACCTTGGAGTGTTACAGACTTCAGTGGGGACCCCTGTGGGTTAATTCCTCTCCCACAGTCGCAAAGACCCACAGAGTGGCACGTAAAAGTGAGCAGAGCAGTGAGGCCCCTCCGGGGGAAGCCGGATCCCACACAGCAGACCGAAATTCGGTTCCTGGACCCACCAGTTTCATACCGGGCACGCATGCACGTGCCCAGCCCGCTGGTGGGTGCTGAATTGGAGGAAAGGGGTTGTGGCGTGGCCAGGCCCTATTGGGGTGTTTTCTCGGGATGTTTCTCAAGCTACCAGGTCTGGGACTCACACCAGCAGCCTGTGTGGAAAGCGGCCGCCTTAACCACCACACCCCTGGCTGGCCCCAGCCAGTTTCTTGTTTTGTTTTGTTTTTAAAGTTTGGCTATAAGGTGTGTGCTCTCACAAGAGAGAGAGAGACAGAGAGAAAGAGAGAGCGAGGGTGTGAGAAATCACCCCCCAGGGGGATGGCCACGCCACAATCCCTTCTCCATCCCCCTTTCAGGATTTTGGGGCACACATGGACACACGCCTGGCATGATTTTCAAGCTGCTGGGTCCAGGACTCAAATCACACAGTCAGGTATGTGGGGTCCGGCTGCCTTAACCTCCCAGGCATAGGTTTTTAAAGCATGTGGTCCAGGCAGGCTCCGAGGCGGAGGGTAACGCTCCACTGCAGTGGTGCTGGATCCACACGGAAGATCCCAGCTCGGCTCCCCGGCTGGCTTGCACATGCCTGGCACGCACGAGGCTGGGGGCAGGTTACGACACGAGACCCTACTGAGGGTGCTCATCTTTCTCTCCGTCTTTCTTTCTCATGAAAGAAAGTTCGGGGACCAGCAGGTGGCATGGTGGTTAAGGTACTGGAATTCCCACACGACTGACTGTTCAAGTCCTGGACCTGGCGGCTTGCTTTCTCATTCTCCCTCCCTTTCTCTGGCAAAACTCATGTAAAAAAATAAATAAATAAAGATCAATAAATAAATAATCTTTAAAAAATATATGCAGTTCAAACCAAACTGGTTTTGGCACCGGGTACGGCCCATAGGCCACCCGTCTGCCCCCTTGGCGGACTACAGGGAGCTCGTGAAGGTTTTCCAGTGAAAAAGGGTATGATCGGATCAGTGTTTGAGAGAACTCGAAGCAAAGCATCAGGTGGGAAGTGACTAGAGGAAGGAGGCCGGTGAGGCACTGCCCGACAGTGCAGGTGGGAGGTGGCTGTGGTCCGTGCTGGGGTGGGGACGGGCGTGGCTGGACCAATCTGGGGTCCCGCTTCTCCGGGGGAGATCTAGCTCTCCTCAGAATCTGGGAGATGGCAAGTGCATTCTCTTCAAACACCTCCCCCGCCCCTTTGCTAAATTGGGAGGCGGAAGGCCCAGGGTAGATGACCATCTCCAAAGCCGTAGGACAGGGAATTTGAGCAGACGCCAGTGTTCCTGCAGTCTAATTTTACCCACGATTACTTTGCAGATAGACCTCTCAACCCACTCCCCCAGCCTCATCCACCCCCACAACAGCCTCAGCGCCTAATTAGAATGAAAAACCGCACAGCGGTCTTTGGCCCTCGGAAGCAGCCACAGGCAAACTCCGGGCCAGACACTCTTTGCAAAAGTTCTAGGCTCTGCTTCCCGGCAGGGGGAGGTGGGGGGAGCTGCTTTCCAAAGAAGCAGTTTCACAGCGCCAGACACATGTGAAGTGGACTTCGGGTCTATTTCGTGCCGCTTGTGCAACTGGTCACTTGAGTCCACGGAGGACGAGCAGGGTAGGGAGGTCGGAGTGGAGGCGAGGAAAGGTGACTCCCGTCCAAGGGTTTTTCCAGCACCCAACAAACGTCCTGTTCGAACTTCTTTTCCCTGCAGACCCCTTTCATCTCTGCGTGCCGTGTTCCGGGTGTGGCATAGGAAGTGGCTTGAAGCCGCTGCAGAGCCCTCTCTGCCCTCACTGGCACCACATGGGAGCGCCCCGTGGGTGAGGGAGAGGACGGGGCAGTCAGGCAAAGGTTAAGGGGAGGAAAGCAGAGGCAGAGACCCAGAACGGCTCCAGGAAATGCTTGTATTTCTCCACCAGGAGGAGGACAAACAAGCCTTTCTCGTGCCTTCTGGGCCGCGCTCTGGCTCTCCAGCACAGTGAGTTCAGGCAGAAAGAGAGAAGCCGAAAATAAAAATTATTCTGGGGCTGGACGCGACAACTGTGCAGCATGAACCTCATCGGACCGGCCAGCCGCTTCCCTGGAACCGCTGCTTACGCCACTCTGCGTGCCCTGCCCAGCCTTGCCAAGCGACGGGCTTTGCCTCTCGGGCAGACAGGCTGCCGGTGACCCGGCTCCAGAGAGGACCTCCCTGGGTCTCCGGTTTCCCGGCTGAAGTTTCCCTGCTGGGTGCCGTGGCGTTCCCCCACGCGAGGTCTGGCATCCCAGCGCCATGAAGGCAGAGAAACAGCAGCTGGGGGAGCGGTAGCCCTCAGATAAGAGCGGCGTCTCCGTGGGGACTGCAGGGGCTGGCTGGCGCGCAGGACGCGGTCCCCTCTCCGCCATGGACAACGGGTCGTGCTGCCTCATCGAGGGGGACCCCATCTCGCAGGTGATGCCACCGCTGCTCATCCTGGCCTTCGTGCTCGGCGCCCTGGGCAACGGGATCGCCCTGTGCGGCTTTTGCTTCCACATGAAGACCTGGAAGCCGAGCACGGTCTACCTGTTCAACCTGGCCGTGGCCGACTTCCTCCTGATGATCTGCCTGCCGCTGCGGACCGACTACTACCGCAGACAGCGACACTGGGCCTTCGGGGACGGGCCCTGCCGGCTGGTGCTCTTCATGCTGGCCATGAACAGGGCGGGCAGCATCGCCTTCCTCACCGTGGTGGCCGTGGACAGGTACTTCAAAGTGGTGCACCCCCACCACGCGGTGAACACCATCTCCAACCGGACCGCGGCCGGCGTCGTCTGCGCCCTCTGGACCCTGGTCATCCTGGGGACGCTGTACCTTTTGACGGAGAGCCACCTGTGTGCTCAGGAGCAGGGGGTCTCCTGTGAGAGCTTTATCATGGAGTCGGCCAACGGCTGGCACGACATTATGTTCCAGCTGGAGTTCTTCCTGCCCCTGGGCATCATCTTGTTCTGCTCCGCCAGGATCGTCTGGAGCCTGAAGCAGAGGCGGCGGCTGGCCGGACAGACTCGGACGAAGAAGGCCATCCGGTTCATCATGGTGGTGGCGGTGGTGTTCATCACCTGCTACCTGCCGGGCGTGTCAGCCAGACTCTACTTCCTCTGGACCGTGCCCGTGAGCGCCTGCGACCCGTCGGTCCACACAGCCCTGCACGTCACCCTCAGTTTCACCTACACGAACAGCATGCTGGACCCCCTGGTGTATTATTTTTCAAGCCCCTCATTTCCCAAGTTCTACGCCAAGCTCAAACTCTGCAGCTGGAGACCCAAGCGGCCAGGACGCTCAAAGACGCCGCAGCCGGAAGAGATGCCAATTTCCAACGTCTGTCGCAAGAGTTGCGCTAGCGTGGCCAACAGTTTCCAAAGCCAGACCGACATCCAGTGGGAGCTGCAGAGGTGCTGAACGGCCCTGAACCGCACCAGCAGGGAGGCCAGGCCAGCGGCTCAGAGGGGGTGCGTGCGGAGGGCCAAGGGGCTTGAAAATGCCACCACCCCTGCTTAGCTGTTTCCTCCTCGCTCTGTTGGAAATGAAATCCATGTTACCATGCCCTTTGGGAAGGTTCCGGTTCATCGAAGTGAGTCCGTTGCGTGTCTGTGATCTGATTGCTGTGACAGGGACAGTAGGAGCCTGTCTGGGGGCATGGGTGTGCTGGCGGGGGTTAGGGCTGGCTCGGCCTCCGTGTAACTTTAAGCGGCTCAGTAAACGGGTGCGAGGGTGTATGGGGTCGTTTTCTCTCTGGGGCAGTTAATGAGCTGAATGATTTATCAGTGTTTTGTACCCTCTGACCTTAAATTGTTACATATCCTGGCAAATAGAAACTGGGCCTACACTGACACTTATTTTCAGGCTGAGTGAGGCTCTTTGGCTTGGAAGGTCTTAATCCTGGCGGTTTCATCTTCATGGGGGAGGCGTGCACGTTTGTCTTTATTTTTATTTTTATTTTTCTAAAGAGGAGGCTTCCCAGGTGATCTCAAGGCCTCTAATTGTTTTGACTTCCCAGTAGCCCAAGAAGAACAGAACGAAACAAAACAAAACAGAACACCAGAAACAACGCCGCTCTGACCTTCCCGAACTCCACATTTTTCTGCACATCTTTGCATTTCAGAGTAGGTGCTGAGGGTTATGTTTCCCAGCCCTGGTCTTCCCGGGGGAATCAGAGAGCTACGCTGTCTAGCGGGACTGCCTCTGCCTGCTTGTTCTGTGACTGCGAAGCAGAATGAGCCGTCCACTACCCTCTTAGTGTTTACCTAGTTCCCATGGGTGCCGGGCATGCTTCTTGAGTTCTTTTCACCCGGAGGGTCATTAGCTACTTAAGTGACAGCAAAATTTTGAGGCTGCCTGCTTGTTCTGTGACTGCGAAGCAGAATGAGCCGTCCACTACCCTCTTAGTATTTACCTAGTTCCCATGGGTGCCGGGCATGCTTCTTGAGTTCTTTTCACCCGGAGGGTCATTAGCTACTTCTTAAGTGACAGCAAGATTTTGAGGGTGGCAGAGCAGTGAAGAACCTCCACTTTTTCATGGAGCTTTTGCAGTTTCTCTGCAAACGCAGTGTTCTCCCCTCGTTTCAGGACTGCCTCACACACAGGTTTCCTAAAACTGGTCCCAGAGCCCTCAGAGCTCGATGATCCCATGAAATGATCGGCTGTCCCTGTCATTTTTGGCCCCATGGCCATCCCCCCGAGAGCGCTTTCTCACTGTCTCTCTCCCCACAAGCACACGTGCCCTGGAATTAAGGGGAGAGACAGAACCTTAGCTCCATTCTCAGGCCACCGAGAGCTGAAAGCTGTCCTCTGTCCCTTTTCTCGCACTTTCTCAAGTTCCCACTTTCCTCCCTCAGGAATTGTGCCTTGGGGACCAGCACATGACTTAACGATTGCATCGCTGGACTCCCACATAGTCAACCACGGTTCAAGTCCCTGACCTGCCAACTTAAAACTCACGTGGGGTGCGTGTGTGCCCAAAACCCTGGAAAGAGAATGGAGGAGAAGAGACTGTGGGTGTGGCCATACTCGGGTAGGGGGGTATCTCTCACTTTCTGTCTTTCTGTCTCTCTCTGTCTCTCTGGAGAATGCACATGCCCTATATAAAAAATATCTCTTAAAGTCTCCAGCAGTTGGCGTAATGGCTATGTCGCTGGACTCCCACTTAGTTGACCGCGGTTCACATCCTGGACCTGGTGGCTTAAAACTCACGCCGGGCGCGTGTGCGTGCGTGCCCAAGATCCTGAGAGGAGAATGGAGGAGAAGGGATTGTGGCGTGACCATCCCCTCTGGGGAGTGATTTCTCGCTTTCTGTCTCTATGTCTGTCTCTGTCTGTCTGGCGAATACATGTGCCCTATAGCGAAAACCTCTCAAAAAAAAAAAAAATCTCTTAAAAAAAACAAAACAAGAATCTTGCCTTGGGCCAGCCACGTGGCATGGTGGTTAAGGTGGCTGGATCCCACGTGGCTTATTGGGTGGTTTGAGTCCTGGACCCAGTGACTTGAAAATCACATCAGATCGTGCACGTGTGCCCAGAATCCTGAGAGGAGGATGGAGAAGAGATTGCAGAGTGGCCATCCCCCCAGAGAGTGCTTTCTCACTTTCTCTGTCTCTGTCTCTCTCCCTGCAAGCACACATGCCCTATAGCCAAAAAAAAAAACTTGCCAACTTTTTGTCCTTTGGTCTCAAAATGACCCCACAGGCTGCCTCAAAACTGTTTTCTTTTTTAGAGGCACTGCATTGCCTAATGATAAAAAGTGCAGATTGTTGAGAGTCAGAGTCAGGCGAATCTAGATCTGCATCACAGCTCAGCCACTCATAGCTGTGTGATCTTCGGGCGGACTGGCGTTAACCGCTGTTAGCTCTACGCCCCTTTCTGCCAACCGAGGGTAACAACAAACCTGACTTCAACGGGCCATTGCGGGGATTGGGGGATGGCGCAACCCCGAAGCGTGAGGACTCAGATCACTGTCATATCCCCGGTGTCCAGAAGAGCCCCTGCGCGTAGTAGGTGCCCAATAAACCCTTGTGACACGGATGAGTAACAAGTGCATGCGAGGCATCGTACGCGGTGCCCGGCAGCAAACGCTCAATATTATGACTCGTTAGAGTAACACGGCGGACCCAGACAGAAACAGGGTGCAATGCGATCTCCCGGAGGGTCGGAGCCAGTGTCACCACCTGAATTCCCCTGCTCCTCGGCCGGGAGGACAGAGGCACGGGTTCTTATTGATATCGAGAGAAATCTGTGAAAACCCACACTTCCGCTTTCGGTTCTATTCTGGGCTGTGAGCTTCCCTGAGCTCTTCCTCTGTCCCCTCACCGTAATAAAAACAGGTTCTGGAGGGAGGTCTGTGTGCTGTGTGTGACTCCAGATTAAAGGATGCTTATGACTTTGCTCCCAAAGGAAAAGAGGTTGAAATAGCCAGAGTGTATGGTAAGCATGTGGACGAGGTTCTCATTAAACAACAAAACAAAACCCCCCAAAACACACAAAAATCCTCCAGCAAGAACAAAAAGAACAAAAACTTAAATGTGTTCTTCTTTTAAAGAAAAGTTTATTGATGGGACCAGCAGATGGCATAAGGTTATGTTGCTGGACTCCCACATGGCTGACCATGGTTCGAGTCCCAGAGCATGTGGCTTGAAAATCCTGCTGGGTGCATGTGTGTGCGTGCCTGAGATCCTGGGAGAATGTAGAAAAAGGGACTGTGGCATCGCCATCGCCCCTGGGGGGTGATTTCTCACTTTACCTCTCACCATTCTGTCTGTCTCCGGCAAGCACATGCACCCTTAGGCAAAAAAAAAAAAAAAAAAAAAAATCTCTAAAACATAAAAAGCTCACTTATTAGGGCTGGCAGGTCGTGTGGTGGTTAAGATGCTGGACCCCCACATGGGCGACTGCAGTTTGAGTCCAGGACATGGTGGCTTGCTTTCTCACTTCCCCTCTGTCTTTCTCTGGTCAGATTTAATAATAATAATAACAAATTAAATAAATAATTCTTAAAAATAGTAAGGCTTATTATTTTCCGTGAGAGAGAAAGAGACAGACAGTAACCCCTACAGGGTCCTAGCCATGACCCACTCCCCAGCCACAGCCAGCCCCACATCACGGGCCACGGGCACCCGGTGATCCTGGGACAGATGTACTCAGGGGCATCAGAGGAAAACCCAGAGCCTTCCCGTGTGGGTCAGCCTGGTAGAGTCATATCTTACCTTGTGTCACTGTCTTGGCTATAAATTAGCTTCCTTTGTTAAGTTTGCAGAATGTGAGGAGAAATAAATCTTACAGCAAGTGTTCTTCAGAGATTCAGAGGCAGAGAGGAGTGTAGCTTTGCTGACAAAGCTTTGTTTCAACTCCCTGAAATAGGAAAACAATTGATTGGAGGAAAATGCTTTTTAGGAAAAATCACATAAAGCCAGATATTGGCTATTAAACCAGATACTCTATAAGGAATAAGAAGTATCTTTTATTGATGCTGACAATGATAAAAAATTTAAGTTCTGGTCTATTTGCAGAATGAGTTTCCTTACCATTGAACTGAAATGGTGGGCCAGCCAAGCAGCCTGCTGGTTAAGGTGACGAGATCCCACATGGCTGACTGCATGGTTTGAGTCCCAGACATGGAAGCTTGTAAAACACACCAGGCACGTGTGTGTGCATGCCCCAAGCCCTGAGGAGAGAATGGAAGAGAAGGGACTGGGTTAGGCCATCCTCCCTGCGGGCTGCTGTCTCATTCTCCCTCTCTCTCTCTCCAGTGAGCACATGCGCCATATAACAAAACAGACAGACAACCGCTGAAATGCTTAAGATGGTGTCTGAGGTTACTAGTGTGCGGGGTCTGCTCGGACACGAGGTCGGCTCTGGGACATGAGGGGTTAAGCCAATGGTCGAGGTGCCACCGAGGGCTAGGGCCCAGCCACCAGCAGCAGGGTGGGGACTTGCTCACCTCTGCGCCCTGCAATCAGAGATTCCCGTATGACTCGAGACCCCATCACCGTGCGTGCATCCATGGCTTCAGGACGGGCTCCATGGCTGGGGGCCAGCACAGAAGGCCAGGCTCCTCGTTCCAAAGCACGAAGCAGCTCAAGAGATGGAGAAGAAAGAGAAGGGTTTGGAGATAGCGACTGCAGGCCATTAAACCAATCACGAGGCTCTGCCGAGCTCGTCCATGAAGACTGGGGCTCAAAGCTTTGGATAATAGATATAGACAGAGAGAGAGAGAGACAGAGAGAGAGAGAGAGAGATGGTGGGTGATAGATAGATGATAGAGATGAGAAAAAGAGAGAGACAGAGAGACAGAGAGAGAGACGGTGGGTGATAGATGATAGAGATGAGAAAAAAGAGACAGAGACAGAGACAGAGAGAGATGGAGGAGACTAAGCAGACAGGCCTACATATAGGCCTATTCTATATTCAGGTTCTAGTGTACTAGATTATAAAATGATAGTGTGAGAGGGTGAACTTTTTTTAAAAAAATTATTTTATTTAACTTTACGTATTTATTTATTTAATTTGACCAGAGAGGGACAGAGCAAGAGTGAGAGAGAGAGAGAGGGAAAGTGAGAAAGCAGCCATCAGGTCCGGGACTCGAACCTTGCTCGGCTATGTGGGTGTCCAGCCTCCTTAACCGCCATGCCACCTGCCAGCCCGAGGATGAATATTTTATTCGTCATATGGAGCCATTCATTCATCCCTTCACTCTTCAAGGCACATCAGGTAAGCCCAGTTCTGTCCCGAGCACAGCAGACACACGT